GCAATTGATGGGGCCGTGGCGTTTGCTCACTCACTTAAGAATCAAAAAGCAACACATTTGCGCCAGCGTCCTGTGCCCATTATGCATTTGCTTGTGAGCAGGATGCTAATAATCACAATTACGAGACGTTACAATTAATATTAATACTTTGTGTGACCCTTTAGGGAAAAAAAACATTCCAAAGCTATGGAGGACTTCACGAATATTATCGTTTTCAATTTCAGGATATCACGGGGCACCAACGTTTTGGTTACCTAAACTATTTTGGTGCCATGTGAGTCCGTTATGAGCGTGCCCATCCCCCAGACAGCGGCCCTGCCTCCACTGGAGGTGCTCGGGGCAGACCCACCCTGCTCGCAGCAGGACGGCCCCGCCCTGGGGCCTGGCTGGCACGGGGTGGGGGCTTCCTCGCCCTCCAGGGCTGTCTGAGCTCCCATGGGTCCCCATAAAACCCTCTCAGGCCCAGGTGCTCCCTGGGCCATGACTCCCAAACCCGCTGCTGTCCCACCTCAGCCTTCACCCACCCCGTAGCTCCCTGCCCTGTTCTCAAACCTCTGCTGCCTGGCATACCACCACCGTCCCCTAGACTCTCAGCTGTGTCCCCACGTCCCACCCTCACTGTGGGACAGGCCGGGCCACACCCCCCTCCTGCCTGTCGCTTTCGGTTTCACACCCCAGATGCACCTGGAGCTGCACCTCTGAGTCAGGGCCGGGGTCCAGGGGCTCCTTCCCTGCCACCCCACCCCCACCCCCAGCAGGTGCAGGGTGGCGCAGGCTCCGCCAGCCCAGCCCCCGTGCTGCCAGAACACCCCAGAGCGGAGTCACAGTGCCAGGTCCCTCCCCAAGCTGCTAGCGCCTTTAGCACCTGGTGGCTCTGGGCAGGTGGGGCAGGGAGTGTGAGCAGAGCCAGCCCAGCCCAGGGCAGGAGGCTGCAGTGGTCCCTGCTCCCTGTGAGGCCAGCCGGTGGGGGATGGGGCACTTAGCAGGCTCCTGCGCTCTGGAGGGATCTTCCACAGAGGCCTCACCCAGCCACGCCCAGGGCCACCGCACCTCCCGGCCCAGTCACTAATGGTGACCGGTGAGTGCTCTGGGGGTGGGGCCATCCTTAGAGACACCCCCTCCCTGCGACTCCTGATTGGAGGCCTGGTGGGGCCTTCACCCCAGGAAAGGAGCTTGGCCTGTCCCCAGGGGCGCGAGGTCCAGCCCTGCCCCTGCTGGGCCGGGGGCCCCGTCCTCCAGGCAGGGACGGCTGCCCCCAGGTTCCTGGCAACGCTGGGTCCTGCCTGTCTTCCCACCTCTCAGCTCGTCCATGTGGAGAAACATTTGTTGTTGCTCAAACGCCAGGGAGCCAGGTCAAGCTCCACTCTCGGAACGGGGCCTTCCGGGCAGTGTCCCCGCCCTCCCTCGCGCCCTGCAGGGTGCTGTCCTGGCCAGCTCAGCCTGGGCAGCAGCCAGGAGCAAACCCCGGGGCAGGGGCGTCCTGACCCTTCCCTAGGCCGCCTGGCCAGTGCGCAGAGCCTGGGAGTGCGGGAGACCCTGACGTGGCCTCTGCCCCCTGCCCCCACCCCCACCCCGGTCCTCCCCACCAGGGCTCTCCCTGTGGCGAGTCTGCCCCTTTTGGGAGACAATCCTGGGGTGTGGCTCTCGTGTCCCCGCCCAGAGCCTGCTCCCCCCACAACATGCACAGTGTCTTCCGGGGCCTGGGGGGCCTGGGGGGCTCAGGACGGCCGGGGCTGCACCTCCAGACCAGGGGCAGCAGGAGGCACCCAGAGCCAAGAGCATGGGGACACCCATAAGGACCAAAGCCCTTGGGCACCTGGGGGGCTGCTAACCCCTCTGCAGAAGGGGGACCCAGAGTCTGTGGCCATGGCGCCTGCGTGGGTCTCCAGGACATGGAGGTGGCTCTGGTGGGGACGGGCAGTGGGACGTCTCGGGACTGCCGAGGGCCTTGGCCTGGCAGGTGGAGGGGAGTGTCCGCCTAGGACCCCGCTGGCCCCAAGGGGCGAGCTCCCCACTCTGCCCTCCTCCCCTGGCAGGGCTGACTCACAGCTCCGGCCCTCCGGGAGCGGCCGCCCGGCAGGAAGCCTCGTCCGCCCACGTGGGCAGCTCGGCTCTTCCCTCCCCCAAGGCCACGGGCATTGAGGCTGCCGTGACTCACTGGAAGCAGCTCTACCCCCGAGAACACGGAGCCCACGGCCACCCACAGCCGCCAGGAGCAGGGCAGCAGCCCCCACTCCCCATGGAGCCTGCTGGGGCGGAGCAGGGGAGGGCAGGGGAGGGCTGGGGCAGGCGGCTTCGTGTGCAGACCCCACTCTGCGCCAGCCCCATGCCAGTGGCTGGGTGTCCCCACCTGGAGACTGAGCGGGGCTCCCCCTTACCCAGACGTCCCCTTATTAAAGGCCACCATCCCAGTCCCGGGGGCCGTGTGGGCCTGGGCCGCTCCATCCCTGCCCCCCCCATCTCTGCCCAGAGCCTGCAGAGCCTCAGGCCTGCAGGTGCAAGGGCAGGTGTGGCCAGGCGCTGCCCGCTGGGCCCTCTGGCCGCTCCACCCCTCAGACTCAGCACCTGCTCCCCCTCCCTCTTCCTCTCCCCCTCCTCCCAGCCCACCTGCCACAGCTGCCCAGGCAGCCCCCTTGGGGCAAAGAAAGTTTGAGAAAAAGAAAGCCTTCTGGAGGGGGGGCTCCTGCCCCACCTTTGCTAGCAGGTCGAGGAGGAGAGGCCGCCGGGCTGGCGAAGAGACCAAGAGTCCTAGCCGTTCCTGAGGTCCGGGCTCCCCTCCCGCACCCCGTCAGGAGGGCCTGAGTGTCCAGTGTGCACAGTGATGATGCCACACAGGGCTGGGTCCACCAGCAGGTGACACGCCTGCCGGCCCCCTCCTCCCCGCTCCCGTGCGCCCGGAAGGCTGCCGGCCCAGGGCCCTGCATGGCTGGCACGGGGCCTCACGGGGCCCCTGCAGCTTCCATGGGGCGCGGGGCGGATTCGCTGGGCCTCGGCCATCCCTCCCCACCTTGGGCTCTCTGGGTGCGCCAGGGCCCACCGCTCCCCCCAGGCCTGGCCTCCTTGCTGGGGCAAGAGGTGGAGGGGCCTTTCCCCTCCCCCACACCCGTGGACACCAGTGCCCCGCTCCCGAGCCAGCGCCACACGACAGGCCCCACGACTGCTCCGCCTTGGTGCCCTGCGTCTCCCCAGCACCCAGGCGGCCACGGCGACTCGAGTCACGTCCAACAGGCAGACAAGGACGTGTGTGTGTGGGGGGGAGCACAGACGCTCTGCAGCCACGTGTGTCTCTCCTCGGGGGACCGACAGCCACGCAGCCACGCACACATTGCAGTCCGGCTCCAACCCCGTCACCCAGCACACCAGGGGCGTCCCCCTCAAACCAGGGCCCAGGTGGCTGCCGGGGTTGGGGGCCGACTCCTGACAGTGAGGGTCTCCGAACGCACCAGGAGTCCCTAGCGGTGAACTCTCGGTTTTACGTCTCCGGAGGACCACAGCTTGGAAAGCCACGGGGAGGGTCTGGGCCCCCTGCCGGCCCGGCCAGGAGAGCTCTCTCCAGGCATGCCCACGCCGCGTGGCTGACACCATCGGCCGCTGAGAGCCGGGGGACGCAGCCCTGCCATTATGCCAACCACAGCCGCCACCCAGAGGCCCCGGCACCATCAGGAGAGACGCCGCCGCTTCCTGCCCAGCGTCGGAAGATCTCCCACGCTGCCTTCCAGGACTAGCCTCGTCCCAGCTGAGCAGCCGAGAGGCCGCCGTTGACGTTGACGCACAAGAATGTCGAGTCCACAGGGTTTGGCCCCGGGAAGCCCCCAGCCCTGCCTGGGGCGGGGGGGGGGTGTCCCGGCAGGGTAGGAGAGCCCCCCGCCATAGGGGCCTGCCTCCCCCCACCCCCGCGCCTGAGCAGCCAGGTGAACTCAGCTCTGCACCTGGAGCACACGCTCCGACACGGCTCATTGGCTGCTCCAGCTCTTAATCACCCGGTGAAAACCGGTCGGGTTTAAAAGGCAGAGGCAGGACCTGCCCCCAGCCCCTGAGTGGGTGAAAGCCTTTGGCTCCGAGAGCCCGGAGGTCCGGCAGGGAGCGCGCTGCTGGAGGGCAGAGTGACTCTGAGGTCACTCCCCACGCGCCTTCCCAGCGCCTGGGCGCAGGGTCCTTTCGCGGTTCTCTTTTCGGCTGCAGTTTCAGCCGTGGGCTGCGCCGAACGCTCGGCGTGTGTCCCGGCGGCTTTCGGCCGAACGCACCCTCCTGTGCCAGCCTGAGTAATCGCCCTGCCGGGGAACCTGCAGCTCTGCCTGTGGTGGCGGCGGCGGGTTTGGGGGTGGCGGGAGGAAGCCGTCGGCCCCCACGCTAAAGGGGAGCGCCCCTGACCCGAGCCGCAGGCTCCCCCGAGAGTCTCCAGCACTCCTCTTCCAGACGACGGGCAGGCGCCTCCCCCAGGCAGGCAGGTGGAGCGCGAGTGCCTGCCGGGTGTCTGCCCGAGACAGCTGTGCAGGGAAAGGCAGAGAGAAGCAGCGTCTCCTCCCACCTCCCGCCAGCCCGGGCACAGGAGTGACGCCCACGGCTCGTCCTGCCTGCTCTGCAGAAAAACGCACGCTCGTTTCGCTTTGCTACGTAGGCACAGGAGAACTGGAGGGGGCAGGACACTGCCACTCTGCACGAACGGCCAGGCATGATCCTGGAGGACACTGTCCCCCGTGAATGACAGACAGGCCCCCCCGCAGGCTCCGACCAGAGCAAAGCAGCCCCGGCCAGACCGCGGGGCTGCACCCCCAAGGTTTCCGCTGGCAAAGCTGCGGGACGGGGGGGCCCTGGGTGCAGACTCGGGAGGGCGGACCACCCGCCGGACGATCTCGGGGAGACTCCCCGGCACCGAGCACCTCGTGCCACCCTCCGGGCACCCTCCCGGGAGGTACTCCCCTAGCACCACCCCCTGGGGGAGCGCGGCATGGCACGGCCTTCAGCACCGCGGACAGCACCGACCCGGCGGCCGTCCCTACCTGTCGTCGCTCTGGAAGGACTGGTCGCCCAGCAGCAGGTCCCGGAAGCGGTACCGCGGCGGCAGCGGCAGCACCTCCGAGTCCAGGTCGTTCATCCTGCGGCGGGCGGTGTCCGGGCGCCTGCCGTCCCCAGCGCAGGGCCGCCTGCGGGCACACGCCGGCCCTCAGCCCCCAGCCACGAGACCGACCGACAGACCTGCGGGCGGCCTGGCAGCACCTGCCGGGGAGACCGACTGGGGCAGGAGCGGGGGCGGGGCTCCCTCTGAGAGCCCTGCGGGGGAGGAGGGGGCGGGAGCCGTCTCGGCCACTGAGGGACACAGACGCCCTGGTCCCGCCCCCTCTCCTTGGACCCCACCACGGCCTGGGCAGCCCCTGCTCCCTGCTGCTGCCGCCCCGTCCCCTTGGTCCTCGGTCCTCACCAGGGCTGCACAGCCGTCCCCCAGGGTCAGGACCCCCCGCGGCCACACAGACCCTCAGTGCAGAGGGTGGGGTGAGTGGCCAGCAGGCTCCAGAGGCCCCTATTGGCAGAACACGGGGGTCAGGCCCTCTGGGTCCCAGGCTGCCCGCTAGTGTCACCAGATGGGGGTCCCCTGAGTCTTGGGGTGCGGGGGCCGAGCAGGTGAAGGGGGTCCCCAGTGGTCACAGAACTGTAGGACCAGGCAGGGCTCCTGCACCTCCCCCGTCTCGTGTCCACATCTCTGTGAGTTTCCGCCGCACCAGGGAGGGCGGGACACGCTGAGGGGCAGCAGGGGGGATTCTCCCCTGGTGCCAGGCCTGCCCGTGCCCAGGCTGGCAGGGGGGCGGAGGGGAGACAGAGAGGCCTCGTGTGGCCTGGGGCAGGCAGGAGTCTGCCAGGCACGCCCAGGTCCCCAGCGGGGCAGACTGTGAGACCCTCCTCTCTCCCCACCGGGCGGGAAGCGCGGGCACGTCCCCTGCGCCCCCCACCCAGTGCCCATCCCATGCCCCCACGCATCCTCCAGTGGCCTAGAAATGCCAGGCACCGTCCCAGGCTGTGGCCGCAGGTGGCAGGCGCTGGCCCAACACCCTGCCCCCTGTTTCATGGGTCACAGGTTCAACCTCGAGAATCTGGCAGCGTTTGAAAAATAACATTTTCCTAATTGCATCAGCGTAGCTGCATGTTTTTCCCGAGTCACAAGCCGGCCGGGACCGCGGGGAGGCTCGGGGAGGTGGGGGACCCTGTGACCAGGGTGGGGCCCGTGTTTTCTCCGTTTGGCCCCTTTCCTAACGAAAGCCCTTTCTCTGTGCAAAACCCCGGGGACGGCGGTCCCAGGTGCGGCTGCCTCTCCCCCCACCCCAGCTGCTGAGCTCGGGGTTTGCTCTCCTGGCCTTGAGGCCCAGACTCGGGGCCCACGGACAGGCCGCAGGGGCACACGGGTGGGGGGAGGAAGTGCAGAAGGACCTGGTACCCCAGAGGTGGCCTGGGGAGGGTGACACGGGCAGACACCCTTCTGTGCTCGGGGTGCACCATACCAGTGAGCACGTGGCCGTGAGCAGGCGTCCCGCAGGCCTCCTGGCAGCGGCCGGCTCCCCCTGCGGAGCCAAAACCCTTGAAGAGGCTTGACTGCTGGGCTGGCCGAGCGCCAGGGCCTGGGGGGCTCCGGGAAAGGCGCCCACTCCGGGGAGGACGGGGCCCAGCGGCTGCTTGGAGCTGGGAGACCTGCGTCAGCCAGACCTGCTGGGCGTGCGGGGCGAGGCGGGGGGGGGCCGTCTGGTCCCCACAGAGGCTGGTGCAGGTGGACCGGGAACACGAGCCTGGCACAGCTGCCAGGACACAGGGAGGATGTCCAAGACCCCCGAGCCCACACCTGCGACCCTGGCCTCTGTGTGACGCCCTGCCAGAGAATCGCCGAGGTCTACAAAAATTCCTGCTTTGGCGGCTTAAGCCAGGCGTCCACCTGCCAGCCTCTGCCGCCCCTGGGACGAGGTGTGGGCGTCGCCCTGTGGCAGGACTCAAGCCCCCTGGAGCCAGGCAGAGCTGACAGGACAGAGCAGACCCCTCCGCACTCCCAGCCCCTGCTCTCCCCACGGGCTCGCTGGGACGCACGGCACACACGCATGCACCGGGCCCACGGTGAGGTTGAGGGCCCCGCCGATGTGAGCACAGCTCAGTCCTGGCTGGGCGGCCCGGCGCGAGTCACTTGGCCTCTCTGGGCCTGAACTTCCTCGTGTGAAGGGCTGCACTGAAGCCGCCCATGCTCACCGGACGACCACAAAGATGCTGCAGGCATCACAAGCGCAAGGCAGCCCCACTCACTCGGGGACCGCGGCGGCAGTGGACGCCCGGCCTGGGCTCCACGGTGGAGGGGGACTCACGAGGGATGAGGAAGAACGGGGGCCGCGTCTGGAGCCGGCACAGCCGCTCACCGGGAAAACCCGAGAGGAATCGGCTGAGAAAGGATCAGATCGGACGTCCAAAACGGCTGCCACGCCGAGGAGTGTCACATGGCAAGACCAAAGCTGCACGCGCGTGCACAGCGGCGCCGGGAAAAGACCCTGCACGCGGCAGCTGCAAAACCCAGGACCTGCGGCTCCCCCTGCCCCGGGGGACGCTCCTACCACGTCCCTCGGAAGCTGTCGGTGCTGGGAAGCAGCAGCCGTCCCCTGAGCAGACGGGCGAAGCGAGTCCGCTCTGCCGGGCACAGCGCCGTCATCCCACAATTTCACAGACTGTGTGACAACTTCGTCCTGTCTTCCGTGTGCGAGAGAGCGGCCACTGCAGCCATGGGGGGCACGGCAGGGAAGGGCTCCTCTCCGGGGCTGCCGGCACCGACTCACGGCCACACCGGGGGCTGGCGCTGGGAAGCCCAGTGAGTGGCGGCGGAACACGGCAGCGCCGCCCGCAGGTCCCGGCTCACGCTGGAGCCCGGGCAGGGGTGGGGGCCGGAGGAGGGGTCGGCACTGCTCACTGGGCGACAGCAGCTCCCCGTCCCGACTCGCTGGGTCTCGGCGTCCCTGTGCGGTGGGACGACGTCCTCCCCGTTTTGCTGATGGGGAAGTCGAGGCGCCAAGAACTCACGTAACCTGCCCGGCCCCGTTCCCTCGTTAACCCGGTCACCCGCCCCCTCGCCTGGGCGGGGCCGGCGCTGGAACCCGGCGTCCCAGCCCCAGCAGCCGCGGCACATGGCAGCCATCTGCAGGGCAGGGTCAACCTGGACCCCACACCGCAGCCCCGAGCACGGCGGGACCCGGAGAACGCACGGAAACTCGAGAGCCGAGAGGCCTCTCGTCTGACACGCCAAAGGCGGAGGGGAACCGACTACGTCTCGGCAAAAGTACTAACTGTCTAACTGTCTAACTGTTAGACTGTACCGTCTAACAAAAAACATCATCGACACGGCAGGAATCGCTGCCCGTCCGCGTCAGAAAGAAGAGCAACCACACACGCAACTCATGGGACGGGCGAGTGACAGCTCAAAGGACGAAAAAGGCGGGTAAACTAACGGAGAAAGGATGCCCCGCCGGCTGGCACCATGAGCCACGAGGACTGGCGTCCTGACTGTGACGTCCCCACGGGCGTCCCGACCTGGAACCTGCCCGGGGACGGCTCCCCCTGCGCCCAGCGCGGCCGGCACAGAGCGTCACCTACAAGGAGCCCTGGGGGCCGCCAGCTCAGGACCGGCCGGCAGCGACCGCCAAGGCGCCCCGAGCACACGTGTGCCTGCCAGCCGGCCGGCGCGAGCCTGGCCAGATGCTCAGCGGGGTCCCCATGACAACCAAACACAACCTCTTCCAAAGAACCCCAGACGAGGGGTGGGTTTCCCAGGGTACCCAGCCTGCGGGCGCTGTGGGGACCGTCCCCACGCGCTGGTGGCCGCAGGTCCAGGGCAGCGTCTCGTCCACACTGCGGCGCAGAGAGCGCCTCGAGTCACCTCGCGGAGAGGCGGGGGCTGGCTCCCCAGGGCCCACAAGTGAAGCCCCAGGAAGAACGCTCTTGCTTAATTTACAGAGTCTCGCTCTGTCGCCCGGCCGGAGTGCAGTGGCGTCCTCACAGCTCCCGGCAGCCTCCCGCCTCAGCCTCCCCAGCAGCTGGGACCGCAGGTGTGCGCCACCATTTCTAGCACCACTGGCAAAGTCTTCTACTTTTTGTAGAGATGGGTCTTGCTGTGCTGCCCAGGCTGCATTCTCCCCTCGGGTTTGTGCGGCTCAACCCGGCCGTCCCGAGGCTGCTCCCTCTGCGTAAGGGGCGGGCTTCCGCTCCTAAAACCCCTCCTCAATTGTTTACTCACAGTTCAAAGTTTTCAGGAGCTTGGAGAGCCATGTTTGACAGAGAGGTCAGGGACCCGGGGTTGGGAACACGTGTGTGCAAGCATGTAACCGTGAACATGTAAGTGCACACATAGGTATGTGCATGAACATGTACATGTGTACACGTGGGCATGTTGTTTGCGTGTCTGCATGTGGGTATGTGGGTGTCTGTGTATGTCTGTGTGCGTGTGTGTCTCTGTGACTGTGTGTGTGTGCATGTGCACGTGCATGTGCACGTGTGTGTACCCGCCTGCATGTGCTCGGTTGCTCCGCCCAGCGCAGCCCGCGCCAGGCGCTGCGGCATCTCTGGCGGGGGCGGCAAGTGCCGGGCTCGGTGCCCGGCAAGTGGAGACGCACGGCCCTTTGCTGACCACGGCAGAAAAACCAAACGCTTCCTCTGCACGTTAATTAAAAGCCAGAGCTGTGCAAGCTGCCCAGAAGCTGGGGGCAGGCGTCCCCGGGTGACATGCCCCTCCTGGGGGAAGGGCTTCGTGGCCACGTCCACGGCAGCTGCTCGCCGCAGTCTCCCGGGACACGCCAAGGTCCAGTGTGGACGCTCAGGACACGTCGGTGAGCGGGAGTCACCCGGAGCGTGGTCCAGACTGGCGCTCAGAGCAGCGCTGTGCGCCAGCCACCCGAGGGCAGAGGAGGGCCCCGGTGTGGGCAGAGGCCACGGGCGTGGGCTGCCCCAAGGTTGGGGGGGCAGAGGCCACGGGGAATTGTGGCTCCCAGCCCCAGCCTCGCCGGGGGGCTCCCCACCTGCCCCCAACCCCGAGGTGGGCAGCGGGGTGCAGGGGTCACTCAGTGTCAGGGGTCAAGTCCACGTCTGTATCTCAAGGCCAAGGGGTGCCTGGGCCCCCTCTTCTGGCCCTGCCACGGGCCACATCTCGTCCTCCGGCTGAAGCTGCCCTCGTTCCCCACCCCTGGCCTGACACGCCACAGCTGCGAGAGGCGCCCAGGGACTGCACACGTGACGATCGCCACTCCCCCACCCTACAGGCAGCACATCCTGCAGCCAGTGTGTATGGGGACCTCGGGGGCAGCCCTGCCGGGGTGGACGCTGTGAGGGTGGGGAGGCCGGGGCAGCGACGTGGGGCCACAGCTGGAGGAGGCGGCGGCCCCTGCCGGGGACGCTCAAAGCAGCACAAATGGGTCGGCCTCGGTGGCTCACACCTGTGATCCCAGCACTCTGGGAGGCTGAGGCGGGAGGATCGCTCAAGGTCAAGAGTTGGAAACCAGCCTGAGCAAGAGAGAGACCCTGTCTCTACTAAAAATTGAAACACATGAGCCGGACAACTAAAAATATATACAAAAAACTAGCCGGGCATGGTGGCACATGCCTGCAGTCCCAGCTACTCAGGAGGCTGAGGCAGGAGGATCGCTTGAGCCCAGGAGTCTGAGGTTGCTGTGAGCGAGGCTGACACCATGGCACTCACTCTAGCCTGGGCAACAAAGCAAGACTCTGTCTCAAAAAAAAAAAAAAGCAGCACAAACGTATCTGTGCCCTGGTGTGCCACAAGGACCCTCCTCCCCAAGGTCCCCAGGGGTCTCCTGGGCGTCCCCTCCGCCAGCCGGGAAGCCAGGCGGCAGCTCTCCCAAGACAGCAGAGGCTGCAGGGGCCTCGTCACTGTCACACAGGGCAGGACGGCGGTGCAGGAGCCCCGAAGGCACCTGACACGGGGAGAGGCGGGCCCAGGGGAGCCATCCAGGACGAAGACCCGTCGCCCGGCCCGAGAGGGGCCTGAGCTGGGCCCACGCAGGGCCCGGGCGGCCTGCACAGGCTAACGGTGGTGTCCGGGGACGAGCCCGCCCCACGATAATAAAGAGGACCAGAACACACAATTTCCAGAAAGCCCCCGTATGGGCCGGGGTGGACCCAGAGCCCTGGAGGGAGCCGGGGCTTCCTGCACTGGGGTCAGAGGCCGCGGCTGCAGGGGGGCCGGGGTGGGGGGGGGTGTGCAGGCGCTGCCGCCAGGGGCCGCTGGGCACCGGGGCAAAAGCCTTAACGCGGCCATGCAACTCCTCTGACCCGAAACCCCACTTCTGAGAACCGGGCTCAGGGGAACACCCCGCAAACGCTTCGCTCCAGCCCCACGAGTCTGTGCGGAGCCGCTTACCAGAGCGCCAACCATGCCGCTTGCAGGCCTGCGCTGTCCTCGCGGCTCTGCGAACTCCGTGCGCGCGTGTGCACGCCACGGGCTCCCAACACAACCGTCGGAGGTAGACGCTTCCGTTCCCGTACCCGGTGGAGGGGACCGAGGCTCAGAGGGGTGCAGCGGCTCAAGGAGTTCACACAGCTGCTGCATCCAGGTACTGAGCTGGACCCGCCCCACGACCCCGCGGCCCCGCCAGGCCCTCTGCTCCTCCCTGGAATCCCAGTCCTGCCCCAGACCAGCCTGCGACGTCCTCCTGCCCAGCGGTGCCCTCACGAGGCCCCCTCCTCTGCCACCTGCCCCCTCCTGCCCGGGTCTAGGAGCAGCTGAGGCTCCTCCTGAGAAGGGCCTTCCCAGGGCCCCACCCTGCCTCTGTCCTGCCAGCCCCACGGGTGGGGGCGGTTTGGGGCGCATGTGGTGGCCTCAGCACACCCTTGAAGCACCCCCTTTAACCCGGCACCCAGCCCACACGCCAAGCCCCTCTTGCCTTTCCCCAGACTCACCGGAGCCCTTCTGACCTCTGTCCTGAGCTAAGGCCTGGCCACCCCCGGGGCCCCTCTGCCAGCTAGGACCGGGCTGGACCTCGGCCCTCGAACCTCTGCCATGGGCCTGGGCCACTTCCTGCTGCCTGCAGGGCCAGATCCCTGTGCCTCCGTCCCAGGCCCACATGGGGAGCAGGACTGCTGGGAACTGGCCAACCCAGGAGGGGCCGGGCTGGGGTCTCTTCCAGGAAGTGAGCCGGGCAGGAGGCGGGCACTGCCTGGCTCTGGGGCTGCCAGGGCCACCGGGGCCCCTCCCGGCAACAGCTGCCACCTCCAGGGCAGAGCAGCCAGGCCGGGAAGGAGCTGGCACACCAGGGTGGGGGGGGCTCTAAGGAGCTGGCTAGGGGTGGGGGGCCGGGTGAAGCCCCCTGGGAGGGGAGGGCCAAGAGCTCCTCTCTGGTGAGCCTGGAGCACCACTGGGAGGGGCTGCGGGTGTGGACTGGGGCAGATGTTGGGGGGTGGGGTCCCGGCACTGCTCCAGCACCTACAGAAGACAGACGCCTGGGCCCTGAGGCAGCAGAGGCAGGCACCAAGGCCGCTGCACCCAAGCTCCGGGTTCTGACCACTGCTGCCTGGCCTCTCTGCCCTCACCCACTTGGCGGCTCTGCCTGAGACACTTCCTTCTGCCTGTCAAAGTCCACCTGCACAGGCCTCACCTCCCCAGCCTCTAGCCTCGGCCTCCCGGAAGCTCAGCTACCCCCTCCCAGCCCAGGCCAGATCTTGCTCCCTCCCCAAACCTTATATTCTGGGGGTGGGGGTGCCTCACCTACCCTCACCTTTCCTGGGGGGCCCCTACCCAGCCTGGGCCTCCCTTGGGGGGTCCTACCCAACCTGCTGACTCCTACCAAGCCCTGACAGCTGCTCTACCTGCAGTGTGACCGTGAATCTCTGCAGGGACAGGGGCCAGCTCAGACCAGCGGGGAGGACAGGGGCCCCTGGGTAGCCGGGCAGTGCCAGGTGGGAGACACGGAGGCCTGGGGGGACTGAGCCCACCAGGCCGGGACCTGACACCCAGACCCTGAGGACATGGCCTGAGGCATGACCCTGAGGACCATGACACCCATGACCAGGGACCTGACACCCAGACCCTGAGGACACGGCCCTCCCACCGTGCCTGAGGCAGGTGGTCAAGACCAGCTGGGTGCCACATAGCTGGGGGTGGGGGGACACCAGGCTGGGGAGGGAGACGGCAGGGCCACCGTGGTGAGGACACAACCCAGGAGCCCTGGGGCCACGTGCTCTGTGCCTGGCAGGCAGGCAAACATCACCTGGTGACCCCCCCCAGAGCAGCCCCCCCTCCCAAAGACACCGCCAGCACCTGCTCCTCACCCCCGCTGTGCCCACCAGGACCACGCAGGACCCAGCCCTGCCCCTTGGCACTGGGGTCGGAAACCTGCCTCCAGTCTGGTCCTCAGGAGAAACGGCCCTAAAAGACCGTGACCCTAAATGATCCACCTCCTCATCTTACACACGGGGAAACTGAGTCTCACAGAGGAAACGGGCAGCAGTAGCACCTGGCCTTGAACCCAGGCCTCTGGCCTGTCAGGTGCTCATCCCCTCCCCCCAGCCTTAACCGCCAGGTCACTGCTGGCTCCGGCCACCTTCTCCGGCCCTTCTCAGCTGACCCCTCCCAGGGATGGGGAAACGGCGAGAGGGCCGCAGGCCCCACCTGACAGCCCACTTACACCCCACTGCCCAGTCAGGCGTCTTCCTGGGAAGGGCTGCCCTAAAAGCTCTACTGCGTGGGGGGCCCTGGCCCCAGTGCCCCACCAGGGCCCACCCCACACAGGGGGGATGAGAGAGACCCTCCCCCAGACGGGGGTGGGGCAGGGTGGGAGGCGCTGTCCCCAGCCCCTCCAGCCTCCTAGGGGCAGGGCCCCCAGCCTCCCTGCCACCTCTCCCACCGCCCAGAGTCCCTGAGGATGGCCGCCCCCCTTCCAGAGTACAGACACGTGGACGCAGCACCTCCCGCAAGCAGAGCCCCACCCCCCCAGGGGTGCCCTGAGCCCCACGCTGTCGGGAGGGCACTCCAAGGTCCAAGGGGTGGGTGGCCCTGGGCCTGGGGGTTCGGGGCTGAGGGGGTCATGGGGTGGCGCTTGCTCCGACCAGGGTCTCCAGCTTGGGGGAGGGCGCGGCAGGCCGTACCTGGGGGCGCAAGGGCCGGCGTCCAACTCGAAGTTCTGGTTGGTGCAGCCGCCGCCACGCGCCCCCTGGCAGACGCTCCCGGGGCTGCGAGCCCCGTCGGGGAGCGGCATGCGGGCGGCGACTCGGACAGAGCTTAGGTCCCCAGAGGCGCCCCGGGTGCGCGCGCACGAGCCCAGGTCCCCGGAGCCGTCCCGGGCTCGCGCGCACAAGACGTCTTCTGTTCCAAGGTCGGGCTCGGGCGCCTGTCCGCGCGCGCCCCCTGCCGGCCGCGCGGGGACCTGCGGCGGCTCTGGCTCAGGCGCGGACCACGTGCCTCGCCACCGGGGACCCGCCCCCATCACGGCGCTCTTAGCCCTCGAGACCCCAAAACACAAGAGGGATCACTTAATGGCCAAAAACCCCCAAGCGCGCCGCCCAGCCACGCGTACCTGGAATGGCTCCGTGGGGGGGTGGGTGCATAGGCGCTCGGGGCCCTTCTGGTTTAAATGCTGGAGCCAGGGCGCCAGCTCTGGGGGCTGGGCAACTCCACTCTGACCTCCCCTGGCCGGCCCTCGCCCCTGCGCAGCACCCGGTCAGGACGCGGTCACTCACGCACAAACCAGCCTCTCGACCGCTGGGCAGCTGCCCCTGCGAGGTTTTCTGTCTATGGGCACCACCTGTGCAGGAACCCACTGGGCTGGGCCTGGGGGGCGACGGCAACTTGCCCCTGCCCACCTGGTGCCCAGCCCTGCACTCTCACCCACCCCGCACACACAGCACGCCCAAACAGGCAGTGAGGAGGGACCCCGACCTCAAGTGCCGCAGCCCACCCACTGCCCCCAGGGAAGGTCAGCCGGAAGCAGAGATCTGGCCTCAGCCCCCGTTCCAGACACGTGCATACTCCTGGGACAGGTCACCTGGCTCAGATGGCCTCAGCCCCAGGGAGCCCAGAGTGCTGTCCCTGGCACTGTGTCGGTCTGTAACCCAGGGCTGCAGCAACGAGAGAGACAGACACACACACACAGACCTCTGAAGGCCTCGGGTCCTTACGCAGCCTGCCACCGGGGGCTGAGGTTGGTGTGAGCCAGTGTGGAGGGTTCCAGGTGTGTACTTCCTGGTGCGTGGCAGCCTCAGTCTCCCCTGAGGCCACTTCCCTGTTTGCCTCCGGGAGACAGTAGGCTGAACACAGACTTTTTTTTGGGGGGGGGGCGGCTTGGCAGGGGTCTAGGACACTCTCAAGTCCCCAGAAGAGGTGCAGTCCTGCATCTTGGGGGCTTTCCCCCAGAGGGTCCTGGTAGCACCGCCCCAGGCAGGGCTCTGGCCCCTCACACGTGCTCCTGGGAGGCCCCTTCTGGCTGTGGAGCGTGCCCAACGCAGCTGTGACGGATCAGCGGTAATTACAGGTGCCCTCAGCAGGAGGGAGTCTGATACGCTTGCTGAGAAACCAGAACTCGGCCCCACTCTGCCAGAGCCCAGCCCAGAGCGCCAGCCCGCCCCTCATCCCCACCCCCACCCCCGCCAGAAGCAGGGAGGCGAGACAGCCGGGCCCCCACTTCCTGCCCACCCCTTCCACATCCGGGCTGCACCCCCAGGCCTCCACCCACAGCCCCCCCTGTGAGTGGCCCAGGCTGAGCAGCGGGGGGCACATGCAGCGCATCACGCCCCCCCTGCAGCGGCCTCGGCGCTGCCCTGCTCCTTCCACCCGCCTCTGGGCCCCGCCTCCTCCGCTGGATATTGGGGCACCCTGGGCAGACTCCCTCTTGCTGCTACTGTCAGGAATGGAGCTGTCCCCTCCGCGCAACTTCATCCGGCACCTGTCCCCAGGAGGATGCAGTCTCAGCACCCCCCCTTCCTATGTTGCTCTCCTCCCGGTCCTTGGCTTCCTCTAGGGGTCACCTCTTTGGGCAAGGACGCGTCTCCACCTTCCCCTTCCCTCCGGCATTCATCCCACAGTTTATCCAGGGACTTCTGCAAGCCACATTCAGCCAGGAGGTGAACAGGGACAGCCGGCTGGCACGCGCCTCACGGGGCGCTGCTCGTTTGGACCTTACCTGTCCCGACCTGCCAGAGGCGAGGCGTTTGGTGGAGCTGGGGCCGGGCGCGGGTGCAGGCCAAGGGCACGGGAGCTTGGGCCGGGCGGCCCCCGGTGCCAGGACCACAAGGATGCCAGCGACCCAGTAGGGCGGGTGGCGGCCCTGCACTTAAGCGGAGCGCCGCGCACGAGGATGAGATTTGGGGGAGAGGGATCCGGGTCACACAGTTCCCGGACTAGGTAGGAAGGAGGGGGCGCGTCCTCACGTCACTCGGGGCACCCGAGGGCGGCAGGTGGGCAGAGCCCGAGCCCGGGTGGGAGCGCGCAGACCGTACTGGGAAGGGCAGGGCGCGGACAGGACGCCCAGCCCCGACTTGCAAGGGTCGCACCTCCAGCTTCTGGCAATTTCTCTGGGGGAGGGACCTGTGGGTTGCCAGCCACGTGGGGCGTGGGCGGGGCCGGTGCACGTGTAGGGGCGGACCCAGCGTGGGCGGGGCCGGGGCTGATTGGGTGGGAAGCAGAGCCTTGGGCGGGGCGCACGCGAGAGCAGGGTGGGGGGTGGTCTCTGGGCTTCAGGAGCTTCCCGTGGTAGCGACGTGCATGGCGTCCCGGGACCTTGAGCCCGACGCCGGGGTACCCCAAGTCCTTGCCTCGGGGGGATGCAGGTGAGGAACTGTGTGGGGGCGGCCAGCGTCGGTCCTGCGAGTCTCCGGTCTTCCCCGCGCGGCCCACCTGGGCAGAGCCGCCAGACCCCAGCCCTGGCGCGGCGGGGCGCCGGGGTCCGCGCGTACCCGGGATACCAAGGCTTCGCCCGAGCCTGCAGAGACGCCCGCACCCTGGTGGTCCCCGGTTCTCAGCCCGGCGCCCTTGCTCTCGGCAGCTCCTCTTCCCCGTCGGGCGCCCTGTCCTGCCGCGAGGACCTTGCCCCAGGCTCGGGCCCCGCCACAGCCCCTCCGGTGGCCGAGGGTCCCAGCCCTGGCCTCCCGCGGAACGTGCTGAGCGAGAGGGAGCGCCGGTGAGTGGCGGGCCCCAGGGGTCGGAGGCTTTTAAGGGGGTGGGGGTTAGATTGTAGTGGTGACCAGGAGTGCGTACTGGTACAACCTGTGAGGTGTGTTTCCATTTAAGCAAGAGCTAGCACGTGGCCGCCACGCAGCTGCTTTGGCCTGAAGCCCTGGGTTCCCGAGGTTGTGCGTTTGGGACCCTCTAGACCCTGACTTTGCCTGTGACCCCCGGTTGGTTCCCCACATCACAAAGCAGGGGCGCTCCGGGCCTGGGGGAACGGCTGCAAACATCTACGCAGCCTGTGGCCGCGGTCAGGCCCACCCTGTGCCTGATGAGGTCGGAGGGCGCAGACCACGTGGCGAGCTGGGTGGCCTTGGGCTCCTGACCCTCTGCCTCTGTAGCCCCAGGGTGGCTGCGTGGCGGGTTCCAGTACCGCTGCGGGCCTTTCTCCTGGCGGAGGCCGCAGGTTGCTCACGGTATTTGTCGTTTGCCGGGGAGCAGGAAGCGGATCTCCATGAGCTGTGAGCGCCTGCGCGCCCTGCTGCCCCGCTTCGCTGGCCGGCGGGAGGACATGGCCTCGGTCTTGGAGATGGCCGTGCAGTTCATCCGGCTGGCGCGCGCGCTGGTGCCTGGCGCGGAGAGCTGTGAGCGGACGGACCTGGTCAGTGCTCTGGGGAGTAGCCGGTGATGGGACATCTCACCAGCCTGGGGGCAGCGTGACCCTGCCTCCGGCCTCTAGGGCCCGGCTGGTTCCAATCCCCGCAGCGCCCACCCGATTTGTTCAGACTCCGCCTGCTGTTGTCTGTCTGCTGGGCGGGGCAGGGTGGGGCCGGCCACGCCTTCCTCCCCACACCCCTCTGTTCTTTGGATGGGTCATTTGTCCCAAAGCTTGATGCCGGTTTGGGGGAGAGTTGGGGTCCCCATGGTCCCTCCGCTGAGCACTGGCTCAGATCATCATCTTGCGCTTGGGCCAGGAGTGGGTTCTGTTCTCTCTCCCCATCCCACGGGGGTCTAGGGGGGGCTATCTTCTCTTTTGTGGGGTCTCAGCGTTTGCCAAGAGGCCCTCGGGTGGGCGTGGCCTGCCCTGCCCCTGGGAAGAGGGAGCCCTCCGAGTGGTGTTCTCAGCCTTGGCTGTCACCCACCCCCATCCTGAGCAGGGGGCTGAGCCCAGGCTGGACATCTGGGCCCCGGGGTCTGGCCACAGCCTGCCTTTCCTGTGGGATTCCGGGTTGACAGTGGCCGCGTTGTCACCGTCTCATCTGTCTGTTTAAATTCCAGGTTCTTGCTCCTTCCAGGGAGACCTGGCACTCACTGCAGAGGAACGTCGTGCAGCTGGCCCTGTCACATCAGGGCCCCGCAGGCACGCCGGGCCCCGAGACGGGGGCGCCTGTCGTGACTCTGTTAGTGTTCCCCCTGGCCCACCCTGCAGTGCCCTGGGACCCCCCGGGGGTGGCAGATGCAAGGCCCTCACCCAGCGTGTCCTAGAGTGGGGAGGCCTGGAGGCCTGGCTGGGTCTGCACAGCCAGTAATGTGCCCGGCTGTGGTGGTGGCGGCCCGGGAGGTACCTGGTACTCCTGTTCCATGGGGTCGCTGAGAGGCGCTGGATCCCCTCCCTGGGTAGGACCCCCATCCTACATGGGTTTCAGGAGTGGGGGTCTCCTGAAGTCAAGGTGATTTGGTCCTTTTCAGAATGATGGGTGGCCAGGCTGGAGGACTGTCCGCCTGTGGGGTTAAACATGCCTGTTTTTACCCCCGGGGGGCCGGGGCCAGCAGCTGGAACCTTCTGGAGCTGGGGGGAGGGGCAGGGCTGGGTGGGCACGGGCAGAGAGCCTCTGCGTGGACGCTGCTGGGCTGAGCTGGCCCCAGGTGGGGGCGCAGTGGGGGGCTCTGTGTCCCTGGGCTGGGAAGGTGGGGGCAGCCCCGGGTCCCCGTCAGCGTGTTCCCGTCAGACCCCCAGGCACACGGGTGCTTTTAGGACGTGCTTGGTCCCGGGGTCAGGTGTCTGTCCCTCCCGTGGGGCTCAGAGTCCCTGCCTGTGTCTGTTGTCCAGGCAGGGGGACGCCCCGCACTGTGTGGCCCTGGGCGTGGCCGAGAGCGAGGGTCCCATGGGGTCGTCCGAGGTGCTAGACAGGCCACCCCCGATCCCTGGTAAGTGCACGTGTGAGCGTAGCTGCGTGTGGGGTCCTGGGCCTGGGGGCCTGGCCGGCTGGGGCCAGACCTTGTTCTGACCCTGAGAACAATGACTCTAAACGGGTTCAAGGTTTTTGTCAGCCTTACGTATGTGAAAAATCTGTCCAGGCTGACCTTGCAGGGACCCTCGGGCCGAACTTGGTTTTCCTGTAAAGGACATGTGTCCAGGAGGGGCAGGCGGGACAGGCTTACGGCAGGGGAGAGGGGAAGGAGGCAGGCTGGGGTGCCTGGTGTCCCGGCCGGCGTCAACCTTGGGCCTGTCCTCTGCATCCTGCCCACCCTGGGACCTCTCTCTGCTCTGGGAAGTGGGGTCCCTCCTGGCCCATGGCTGCCTCTGGTTTCCCCGATGCCTACAGCCAGGCTAAGATCCCTCTTTGGTGGCCCTGCAGGGCACCTCTGTGATGCCTTCTCTGGCCCATGTGCCCACCGTGGCAGGGCTGGTGCCAGAGGCGGGGTCTCCAAGGCACGAGGGTGCAGAGGTTGAGGGCAAGGGCACAGGTCAGAGGGCAGAGCCTGGGTTAGGGAGGCAGCACCGGGAGGGTCCCCAGGTCTGAGCCCCACACAGTTGACCCAAGGCAGAGTTGGCACCTCCAGGAAGCCCCCTGACCGCAGGTGCCAGGCACCTTACCTCCGGGTGGTCGCCTTCTCCCTGGGTGCCTGTCTGCCGCCCGCTCTGAGCTGCCCTCTGTCCACACGTCCCCTGCAGGAGCGGGCGGCTGGGCAGGCACTTGGCTGGCATGAGGGGACTGGGCTTGGGCACTGTGGGGACTTCGGGGCAGCCTGTGGGGCCGGGCCGACCCGCTTTGACTCCCACAGAGCCTTCCAGCCTGGCGCCCCAGCCCGCAGGCCCGACCGAGGTCCCAGGGCCACCCTCGCCCTGGCCCCGCTGCCCCGTGATGAGTGAAGAGGCCCCCGGCTGGCTGGGCCACACGGGGCCCCTGGCCAGGGCTGCCACTCCTCCAGGCGGGCCGGCCGAGGAGGCCCTCGTGCCTGTGCCGGACCCCAGGTGGGTGCTCGGGTGCGTGTGCACACGCGTGTGCATGTGCCGTCACGCCTCCTGTCTGCTTTGGCCCCCCAGCACCGGCTGGGAAGGCCTCGCCCCCGAGTCCGTCTGGGGTGCCCGCAGGAGGTGGGCTGAGGCCTCAGCTGGGCCAGGCCCGCCGTGTGCTCAGTGTGGTTTCTGAAAACGCTTTTGTCTTCCTTGTTGTCCTTTGTTTTGGCTGGTGGTGGAATGAGCGTGTGTTTGCCGGGCGCGGCCAGCTGGGCGTGGGCAGGGAGGAAGGCAGGGCGGGGCCGGCAGCCCGGGTGGGATGGGAGGTGCCGGGCGGCATTGGCGGCTTCTCCTGGGCGGTGGGGGGCAGCGCCCTGGTCCCCCTGGACTCAGAAGCCGCCTTTTAGGACTCGGGCCCGGCCTCTGCCTTCTAGGGCCTGAGCCTGCCCGGGGGTCTTCTCGCCCTCAGGTCTGCGTCGGGCTCCGACGGGGAGGACAGGACGTCCTTCCTGCTGACCGCCAGTCCCGACTGGTGGCTAGGTGAGCGGGGCTGCGTCTGGGGCCGCCTCCTCCCGCACCATCACCTGACACGGGGCTGCAAGGGGGACCAGGCCCGGCAGGCTGCGTGACACGGGGTGCCGGGGTCTGCGTCTGAGCCCCCCCTTCCCTCTGCGGGTGCCTGGTTGTCAGGGTGACTGGCAGGAGGGCGGGTGGTGTGTGTGCGGGTGTGTGTGCGCCTGTGGGTCTGCGTGTGTGAGTGTGTTTGCCACTCCTGGGGCTGGTGGCACGTGGGACCCCGTGTCATTTTGCTGGCTAGACCCGGCCAGCCCCCACTGGCTGCAAAGGCGTCTGGCTGTGTGATGTGTCCAGAATCCACTTTCCCCGGTTGTAGTGTGCGGGGCACCCTCCCGGTTCTGACCCTGCGGGTGTCCTGGGCCTGGAGCAGGGCCGCCAGGTGTCATCTGCCCTCCTGGTCACAGGCTCCATGCCAGGGGACGAGGTGGGGGGGGTGTCCCTGTCTCAGGTGTGCAGAGCCTCCGGAAGGGGCAGGGCAGATGGGCAGGGGTCGGAGCCTGCACCTCTCTGGTCCCACCTACCCGCCCCTGCGCCCTGGAGCTCCCCTGACGTCTCCGTCTGCTTCCAGGGTCCCTGGAGGGCAGAGGATGCGGGGCCCCCACCTGGGCCGGGGCCAGGAGCAGCCCACCGGACGGGGCCGAGCCTGGCCTCCTGGAGGACCCCGAGCCGGGCTGCCAGGAGCTCCAGGACGGCTCCCTAGAGCCCTGGGGCTCGGACCTGGGCTGCTCGGGCCTGGCCCTGCGGGACGAGGTGGACGGCATCTTCCCCGACTTCTTTGCCTGCTAGGCCCTGCGGGCACGGGAGCGGGTGGGGGCGTTTCGGGGCGGCGGTGCGCCTGTCGCGTGTCAGGCGTCGTATTTCGGGTGGGCTGCAGCTGTGCTCTAATTTGAGCGGCTGCCAGGCCGGGAGTGGCGGAGGCGGACTATTAAAGAGGAAAATCGGTTTTCCGGAGGAAGCGGAACTCGTGTGGCTTTCGTGTAATTAATCCCATTCACGGGAAGGTCACGCCGCCTCCCATCAGCGCGCATGCAGCTGCCCGGTCCTGCTCTGGGGGCTGCCAGCGCCGTGGGAGCCCGGTCACCCGCCCCGCTGCCTGCACAGGCTCAGGCTGCCCCGCTCGGGGCCTGGCCTGCGGGCTCCTCCTCCTGCACGTCCCGCAGAGTGGCAGGGCCAGGCCTTGCGCCGCCGCGTGGGTTGGTCTCAGGACCCTGGGCAGAGGGCCCCTGGCCCCAATGTCAGGACCACCCCTGCCCCCAGGGCCTGGGGGCCAGCCCTGCCAGCTGCCTGCCTGCCTCAGCTGTGCAGGCGTGGGCACGGTGCCCGCCCAGGGCTGCCGTGCTCACCCTCTCTCCTGGAGACACAGGCTCGGGCCCTCCAGGTCAGCGTGTTCCGGGGCCAGAGCAGTCTCTGTCCCCCACAGAGAGGGGACAGTCCCCGTGTGGGCACAGCTCCACCAGGCTGCAGCCTTGCGCCTGTACGCAGCCCGCCCCCGCAAGCCGGAACATTCCATCCGTTCCCGGGAGTCCCTTCAGAACAAGGCTACAGAGCCCCTGCCGTGAGAGGACGGCGTGGAGGCTCCGTGGAGCAAGCGTCATCACGAGCTGCAGCCATGGGGGGTGGGGGGTGGAGTCCAGCCACCCAGAGGGGGAGGGGCAGGGGCTTCAGCCGGGTGCTCGGGGCCGTCAAGGAGAGGACCGGAGCCCGCCGTGTCCCCGGAGGAGCCCAGGCGGGTGCTTGGGGCAGGGCTGTCTGCTGCAGACCCCCGAGCCCCTGGTTCCCGGAGCTGAGACCCTGCAGCAGGAGGGAGGAGCCTCAGCCTGGGGCCCTGTGGAGGGCCACGCTGGGACGTGGCTGGATTCTGAATCCACGTGCCGCACGGGGTCATCCAGGGGCCTATCGGGGGCACAGGTCCTGACACCCCCCCTGCCAAGACCTGCAGTGTCCTTAGATCCTCTGAGCACTAGCATCCCGCTGTGAAGATGGCAGCCAGGCCCCCCCTCCCTGGAGTGTGTGCTGCAGAGAATCCCCGAGGCTGTTGGGTCCCCTCCCATGCCCTGGAGCACAGCCCCCAGGCCCAGCCCTGGTCGGGGCTCAGCCCCGTCTGCCCCAGCCACTGGCAGCTGCCACGACCAGCCTCCCCGTGGCTCTGTTCTCAGTGGCTTCTCCCACCAGGCCTTTCCATGTCGGGGCCCCCAGGCACACCCCCAGTGTTGCCTGAAGCTGGCCCCCGATGGCCCTGGTTTGCCTTGCCCCCCACCCAGCCACGGCAACCCCAGCCTCTCCGCGTCCAGGCCCAAACCCCCGCTGGCATCCGGACCTATCTTGCTCCATGTCTGGCTCCTCCGGCACGCCCATCACCTGGCCTCCTTGTGTCCCCTCCGCCACCCCCTGCCCAGGCCACCATCTTTCCCTACTGCGTCCTGTGCCACTGCCCCCAGCCACCCCACCGTCCACCTCGCCGTGGTAGCCACAGGCCTGGGTCATCCTTCTGCTCCGAGTCTGCATGAGGTATTGCCTGCTGCACGGCCCCGGGCAGCCGTGGCGAGCTGAGCCCTGCACCGCCCAGTCTGCCCCACCGCAGACGTGCACACACGGCCCCCCCGAAGGACCGGCGGGATGGCCTCGCGGTGGCCCGGAGCTGCGAGGAGGGTGCGGCCCGGCCGCAGTGGGCGCTGTGACTCACAGGTGCAGGTGTGAACACTGAGCCCGGGAACCGCGAGGAAGTCAGCGTGGAGCCTGCGTGTGTCGGCGAGAGGGGTCTCTGGCTGCTGCCTGGGGCACAGGTGCTCGCTTCCGACAGTGCGCTGAGCTGCGTGTTGATGTTTTTGCACTTTTTGTGTTATGTTGCAACAGACAAAACCTCAACTAAAACGAGCACTCGGGCTGGTTCTGGACACTTTCTGGGGACCTCAGAGTCCCGGGGCAAGGGTGGTTGAGAGGGCCCGTGCGCTGGGCAGAGTGTCGTGGACACAGGGTTTGCGCGGGGCAGGGCCAGGCAGCAGGTGCCGGTGGGCTCGCCGGGGCTGCCCTTGGTCCTGGTGCTTTGGGACACCCTTTGCCAGACTCTGGAAGTTTCCTCCTAGTCCCAGTTTGAAGGACACTTTGGCCCCTGAGGCTGTGGAGTTTGGCAAGGGCCTGCTCTGCGGGGCCTCGCAGGGTACCAGACGTGGCTACAGGTGGGGGCTTTGGTGTGAGGGAGGGCCCGCCCGCCCCAGCCCTGCCACGGAGACCCCGGCCTCAGGGAGGAGGCAGCCCCCCAGGTCGGCCCCTGGACCAGTGCAGCGCTGCGGTGTGAGCAAGTTTCCATGCAGCCACAGGCATAGTCACAGCCACAGTCACAGACACAACCAGAGACACAGACACACAATCTCAGACATAGCCACAGAGACACAGACAAAACCACACATACACACAATCTCAGACACAGCCACAGCCCCAGTCACAACCAGAGACAGACAAAACCACAGATACAGACACAGACACAATCTCAGACACAGACACAACCAGAGACAGACAAAACCACAGACACACAATCTCAGACACAGTCACAACCAGAGACAGACAAAACCACAGATACAGACACAGACACACAATCTCAGACACAGCCACAACCACAGACAGACAAAACCACAGATATAGACACAGACACACAATCTCAGATACAGCCACAACCACAGACAGACAAAACCACAGATACAGACACAGACACACAATCTCAGACACAGACACAACCACAGACAGACAAAACCACAGATACAGACACACAATCTCAGACACAATCACAACCAGAGACAGATAAAACCACAGATACAGACACAGACACACAATCTCAGACATAGTCACAGAGACACAGAACCACAGATACAGACACGCTCTCAGACACGGTCACAGACACAATCTCAGACACGGTCATAGACGCAATCTCAGACACGCAATCTCAGACACGGTCACAGACACAATCTCAGACACGGTCACAGACACAATCTCAGACACGGTCACAGACACAATCTCAGACACGGTCACAGACACAATCTTAGACACGGTCACAGACACAGTCACAGACGGTCACAGACACAATCTCAGACACGGTCACAGACACAATCTCAGACACGGTCACAGACACGGTCACAGAATCTCAGACACGGTCACAGACACAATCTCAGACACTGTCACAGACGGTCACAGACACAATCTCAGACACGGTCACAGACACAGTCACAGACACAATCTCAGACACTGTCACAGACACGGTCACAGACACAATCTTAGACACGGTCACAGAATCTCAGACACGGTCACAGACACGGTCACAAACACAATCTCAGACACTGTCACAGACGGTCACAGACACAATAGACACGGTCACAGACACAATCTCAGACACGGTCACAGACGCAATCTCAGACACGGTCACAGACGCAATCTCAGACACGGTCACAGACGCAATCTCAGACATGGTCACAGACGGTCACAGACACAATCTCAGACACGGTCACAGACGGTCACAGACACAATCTCAGACACGGTCACAGACGGTCACAGACACAATCTACAGACGCAATCTCAGACACGGTCACAGACGCAATCTCAGACATGGTCACAGACGGTCACAGACACAATCTCAGACACGGTCACAGACGGTCACAGACACAATCTCAGACACGGTCACAGACGGTCACAGACACAATCTCAGACATGGTCATAGACACAATCTCAGACACGGTCACAGACACAACCACAGTCACAGCCACAGCTAGTCACAGCCACAGCCACAGTGACAGCCACAGCCACAGCCACAGCTAGTCACAGCCACAACCACAGCCACAGCTAGTCACAGCCACAGCCACAGTGACAGCCACAGCTAGTCACAGCCACAGCCACAGTGACAGCCACAGCCACAGCCACAGCTAGTCACAGCCACAACCACAGCCACAGTCACAGCCACAGCTAGTCACAGTCACAACCACAGTCACAGCCACAGCTAGTCACAGCCACAACCACAGTCACAGCCACAGTCACAGCCACAGCTAGTCACAGCCACAACCACAGTCACAGCCACAACCACAGCCACAGTCACAGCCACAGCTAGTCACAGCCACAACTGCAGCCACAGTCACAGCCACAACCATAGTCACAGCCACAGTCACAGCCACGCCAGGGCTGGAATCCAGTGTGCAATCTTTGCCCCGGCCCGGAGCCCCTTCGCCCACCCGGCCCTGACGCCGCGCTCCAGCTGGGGCGGGGGCTCCCCTCGGTCTGTGTGTCACGGTGTGGGCGTCCCCAGCGCCTGCACCACCGGCGGCTCCCTCGACTTCGTTTTGAGTAAAGGCGCACAGCCGGACCGCGGGCTGCGTGCGTGGTGTGAGCCGGATGCTCGCAGGCCGTTTGGTGGAGTCGGCAGGAAAATTCTAGACAGGTCCCTCCAGGCCCGGGACCGTGACTGCGCCGCAGTTCTGCAGGGCCTGCGCCCGGCCCGAGGAGGGCGACCCCCCGCTGACCCCTCAGCCGGAGCTGGCACCGTGCCTGGCTCAGCCGCAGGAGGTCTGAGGGCGTCGGGGCACAGCCGTGTCACTGGGGCAGGCACGGGTGTCCTGTGCCACTCCTGCACCGCTGGCCGCTCTGCCCGCGGAGCCCACCCCCACCCCCCGCCCAGACTTGGCTCCCGCCCGGCGCAGGGAGGGCCCGGCGAGCTCAGGGGCGACACAGAGTCGTCTTGTGATGGAGAATCGTTTATTGAGTGAGCAGGGGCCACAGCCGAGGGGGGAGCGTGGACGGGGCGGGGGCCCGGCCGGTGGGGCACGGGGCCCAGGTGAGGCGGTGGGAGGGCGGCACAGCAGGGGCACGGGGCGTTCTCGGCGGAATTCCTGGCGGGTTGGGAGGGTGTGAGTGGTGGGGCCGAGCAAGGGGCTCACCTCTGACCCCCGACCGCCCCCTCAGCCCCAGGTGACCCAGACCTGGCTC